ATTCACTATATTTGTATTGATTACAGAATACTATATAGCTGCACTTACTTGAGTTGATGTCAATACTCAGAATGTTTCATTTGGTATGCTAACATATCCTGGATGGATACTGTTTTCATGTTAACTGAAATATCTGGTGTAAACCTTCTAGATTTAAAAAAAAATATCCATTTTCCTTTCTGGGAAAAGATATGCTGAATACGAACAAGTTATGGTCTGTCTGTCTTTTATTTTAGGGTGTAAGCTTAAGCCAATCAGCATCTACTCATAGAGATGCATTGAATCAATGCATCTCTATGAATCAATGCATCTCTATGAAGAAAGTTCAGTATCTGCATAAGAGGGTGGAGACACTAAATGGCAGTGTTGCACACTGTGCAGTCCTGCCCCAGTAAGCACCTCTAGTAGCCATCTGAGGAGAAGCCACTGGAAGTATACCAAGGCTGTAATGTAAACTGAAAAGACAGTGTTTACTACAAAAAGTCTGAAGGTAATGTTTCTACTCACCAGAACAAATACAATAAGCTGTAGTTGTTCTAGTGACTATAGTGTCCCTTTAAATACCTTAACTATACATGGCCCACATGCTATCAAGCCAAAATTCACTCAAGATTATACATATCTTTTCTCCACTACCTGTCTCTCATTCCTCGTTACTGTTGTTCATGCATCCTGACTCTTATCAGCCATGGTTAACTGAGGCCTTGCTATTGTGCTGCACATTATCTGTAATTAAAAACATTCACTAGTTTATCCTCATTCTTTATCTCACATATCTTAATCCATTTCTTTCCATGCTTTTTCTATCTAGTGCAACTGATGGCCCAACAGAATCTGCTGTCTTTCATATTCCCTTTATACCCCTAACCACCATATTCCCCACGCATACAAACTTGTACCTAATGTTTTAATAGACTTAACGTTCTCAGACTTCATATTCAGCTCCCTTCTCGCTCATGCCTGTCTCCCCCCTCCCGTGACTTAATTCCTTCTGTGTAACATTTTTCTCTCCCCACCCCTTTCGTGCTCTGATACATTCCTATCCTATCCTTTCTTCTCTTCCTTACATATAAAAGTCTTCATCTGTACATGCCCAGTGACTTCAAAGCACTATTGTTTTCTGTTCTGTCAGTCTTCTCTCATTTTTCTCCTTGTTGCTTTTATTCCCCACCGTCTATCTCTACCCTACAATGTTTCCTTTAAATAAGAGTCATTCAAATGTCAAGGACAGACGGCTAAGTTCACTCATGGGTCTGTACTCTTTCCTCATCACCGTCCTTTTCTGGATTGCAATAACTTTAGTAATAATCAAGTTTGTGGGAGGTTTGATGAGTAAATGAAGAAAGTTTTATCCATACACAACTGCTTTCCCTATTGTCATCTATAGCATACCCATGCCTTAGGTTCTTTTTCTAGTAAATAAAGTGGTTCGGGGAAGTGTAGCCTTGCGGCATAAGTGTAAGTCAGCATTGGGTAATTTTTACTCTGAGTATCGTATACAACATTTTCCAAAAGATGGAAAGTGTCCGTACTGACCTGGCATCCTAGAATTGCAATGTTTAGATACTATTTTTATAAGATTGGTGGAAAATTACATCCATGCTCCTTGGAAAACAACTTGACAACAATTATGCTTGAGTGTGAAACCAAATAGTGAAATAAAAGTACAACTATCCATTGATTTAAATAAGTAGTTAAAGTCTGCTCAGTTTCCTAAAATTGTAAGGCGATTTTGTTCCCAATACCATACATTTTCTCAATGCATGCTTTCTGCCGTATAACTGGCAGATTCCAGTGAGAGCAGGCACCGAGCCAGGAAAATACATTTGCCGATCAACCAGTCTATGTCAGCTCTGTGCATTGGCTCAGAAGGGCACTGCTTCACATGATCCAACAGGTGGCACCACAGGATTCTGATAAGAGATAAACTTGTGAAAGATCCAGAACATCTCCTCACCCCACCATACAGTGATTGTGTGACTGAATATGTGCATGTACTTAAGGTCAATAGGGCTTTGATTCTTCGCAACAAACTGTGCTTTGCTAATTCAGTTAGCACCCATAAAGACCTTAAAAAGTGTTCCTCTTCACTTTCCTTTCTTTAAACAGACAATCGAATATCTATCTTTATTTCGATTGCTTTTAGTAACGTAGAACAAGCATGCGCAATTTATCTATTTTACCAAAAGTATCGCTTTCAATGTAGTTTATGAGCATTGTTATAAAATCTATTCATTTGAAATATTATTCAAAGCTAATGCCAAGGGTTGCTTTGATTCAAGGTTTTTGTAGTTTGAAACATTGGGTCAGCAGAAAGTTATTGAGAAAAACAATACATATTTTAATATATTTTTATATTTACTTAGTAATAGGATAACAATTGTCCTTCTCCCTACTCATAAGAGCTGCTCACAATACTTCAAAAACAACGCCATCACTCACAATTTAGGCCTGAGTCAGGGTTGTCCCTTAAAGGGTTTCTTCAAACACCATGACCACTTCATTGATTTGAAGAGGTCATGGTGCCTGGAGTCTGCATGTGCAGTATTTCGTTTTTAAAATGCTGCACATGCAAAGATGCCAGAGCTGTAACACCACCATTGGCAGCATCATTAGCCAGCCCAGAACAAAGTTCCAGGCTGGCTAATGTAAGTTTTGAGAACAATTAGGTGTCCGCTAACGCCATGCATTCAATGGCAGTCCTGCCACCTCCGTGCCACCCTTGTCCTCCCCTCGGTCCATCTTCCCTACCCTCCTTCCTTGCAAGGGAGCACGACATCAAGCAATAAACTTGGACTCAGGCAATAAACTTGCAACGGAGGTGAGATTTAGCATGTTTTTTTTTTTTTTACTTTGGCAGATTGTTTAGAAAGGGTTACTCCAACCAAAACCACTATTTTATGAAGACTCTGGTTTTTGGTTGGATCAACCCTTTTATGACGTTCTTAACATACACATTTAGATAAAATCATGAAAGGGATACTATAGGCACCCAGACCACTTCAGCTCATTGAAGTAGTCTGGGTACAGTGTCCCAGTCTCACTTAGTTCTGCAATGTAAATAATTGCAATTTTTAAGAAACTGCAAAGATAACATTGCAGCACTAAAATTGCCTCTAGTGGCTGTCTGATTCTGGTGGTTAAGCGACTTTTGGTCGCCTAACTGACTCTGGACGTCCTCACGCACTGCATGAAGACATCCAGTGTCAGTTAAATTAATCCCCATAGGAAAGCATTGAAGCATTGCATGCGCATTAGGGGAGGAGAAAAAAAGGCAACTTTGTTTTCCGTACACTATAGAATACACTTAAGCTGTTCAAATAGGTGATCTGTTTTTTCAAAGAAGAATTCACATTTAAACATGTATTCCTGACACTATAGTGCTGGAATGCAGCATTAGGTCCCTGATCCCCCTATCTCCGGAGTTTAAAGGTGATTTTACTCACTTTTTCTCCAACGCTTGCCTCAACTGGTCCCTCCTGGTCAATTTTGATGATCTCAGTCAATCGAGAGCTTTCAAGCACTGGGAGGCTTTAGTGCGTGCATGGCAAAACGCCACGCTGCGCAAATCAGTATCTCTTGATTGAGATGCATTGAATCAATGCATCTCTATGGGGTACGTTCAGTACCTCCATGCAGAGAGTGGAGCGTGGAGACACTGAACACCAGAGCTACACACTGTGCAGTACTGACACAGTAAGCACCTGTAGTGGCCATCTAAGTGACTGCCATTAGATTTGTATCAAGTCATCAATGTTAACACAGCAATGACATGCTATAGACACCAGAACCACTACATTTATCGTGTCCTTTTAAGTGATGTAATTGAAAACAAACAGTTTCTGAAGTTTTAGTAGCCATATTTCCAAATGTATTTCTTGCCATCTCTCACTAAGAGTACACAAGAATTTAATTAGACAAGCAGATATGCATTTTAGGATAATGAAATAGTGTTTTCTACAGAACATAAGCTGAAATATGGTTAAAAGAAAACATGAGCTTTTAATCTTCCGACTGAATATGGTTGTTGGCAAGAAGTTTACCTCCTTCATTGTTCTGAATTTTGTATTTTAATGAGGTTTGGCTTCAGCTCATACTGTCGGGTCCAGTTCGGCATTTATTATTATTATTTTTTTTTCAATTGCCTGATTTTCTCCAGTGACTGTTTAACAAGAATAGGGACGGTTAGATAATAAAACATATTTAGAATTTGGATGAACCCATTAAACACTGATGATGATCTAAGATGTCTTGGCCATCAGTTAATAATAAGCAATGATTTAGGGAAAATCTCTAAACATGAAGTTTTATCCTATTAAAGGAATATGTAGCAAAGGCAATTTAGTTGAAAATAAAATAGGTTTAGACATGTGACAACTACCACATTTACAATGATAGGGATTTGTTATAAAAAATAAATAAGCACAATGTTGCTGTCTTAAGAATATATTAGAAGCCATATAGAACCCGGTACAAAATTGCTGTTCAAGCTGGAGCATGCATTGTCAGTGTTTCTTCTTACTGGATGTTACAAATCTATTAAAACACACTTGTTTAGGTATATCATGTATGGAAATTGCTGGTCTCTCAGAGGGATCAATAGAAGCTGAGTCGGTGTATAAGAGTGAGAACATTTGTGAAGTACTGTTCTAGGTTATACTTTTAATATAAGGTGACCTATTTGTCTAAGTGTCCTATGCTTAAGGAATTTCAAACAAAACTCCTTAGCATTTTAAAAATGACCTATCTTTGGGAAGGGGTATGTAACGGACTGTTTTGCCCACAAGCGGTTAAAAACCGTTTAGGCGATCTTCCCCTTTCAGATGCACCGACAGCTACTGCAAGCACCAATCTCCTGAACTGCAACCAAGGGAATACTCAAAACTCCTGAACTGGAGACACACGAATAGCTGCTAGCAGACGAACAGGAAAATCCCCCAAGCGACTTACACTCCTGGCAATCAGTCTCTAACAGCATACAGTAAATCCTCCCCCAATAATGAGACGACACTTCACTTTGAGGGTTAAGCAGGAACTGTCTGTAATGGCCACACACTGGCTTTTATGCAAGTCCCCATGCAAGGGGACATCCCACAGGGTGGGACACAGTAAAACCAATCGTTACAGGGGAACCGTAAAACACACCCACATTTACATCACAATCCCTCCTCTCTGTCCAGGAGATAATTGTGAAGTAATCAAATTATCTCCAAGGACAGAGGCAAAACTCCATTAACCACATGGCAGACAAAGGACAATAAAAGACATAAAATTACATACAGTTACATTCAGTACATAAAACATATACGTTCTACATATCCCCAGATACCTCAGGTCTGAGCGCCCATTATTAAGCGAATGGAAGGAATGGAACATATCAGCTATGAAGAAAGGTTAACAAATTTAAACCTATTTAGTTTAGAAAAACGTCGCCTGAGAGGGGATATGATAACATTATACAAATATATTCGTGGCCAATACAAACCATTGTGTGGAAATCTATTCACAAACCGGATTTTACATAGGACACGAGGCCATGAGTTTAGACTGGAAGAAAGAAGATTTCGTCTAAGGCAAAGGAAAGGTTTTTTTACTGTAAGAACAATCAGGATGTGGAATTCTCTGCCTGAAGAAGTGGTTTTTATCAGAGTCCATACAGATGTTCAAACGGCTACTAGATGCATACTTGCAAGAACAGAATATTCAAGGATATAATCTTTCAATGTAGGGTAATAACTGCTTGATCCAAGGATAAATCTGACTGCCATTCTGGGGTCAAGAAGGAATTTTTTTCCTAGTTTGTTGCAAAATTGTGCTTCAAACTGGGGTTTTTTTGCCTTCTTTTGGATCAACAGCAAAAAACAAATGTGAGGTAGGCTGAACGTGATGGACGCAAGTCTCTTTTCAGCTATGTAACTATGTAACTATGAATGGCGCTCAGACCACACGAATACAGTTTAAACGCCATGGAGCCAAAGTCTTTACACAGTCAGTTTCATGCGAATGGGCTCCATGGGATTCCTATCTGGGGTACAACACACTCAAACAAATCTACCGAACACCCGGCAGAAAAGCACGAATAAGTCTTTTCTGCAGGGAAAAAGATGTCTTTTAACATGGGGCCATAGTCCAAAAGCAGCAGGCGAGCAACCAGGCTTCTCCAGTGTACAGTGGCGAGGTTGGTTTCGCCACAGGGTATACATACAGGGATTTTCTCAACATCTTGGAAACTGCAAGGTAGCAGGGCCGGCGCGTCCATAAGGCGGCACAGGCGGCCGCCTTAGGGCGCACGGGCTCTGGGGGCGCAATATTTCAGTGACCGGCAGGAGGGAAGTGCTCCCTCCTGCCAGGCCACCATCTCGACCCCCGGCGCGGCAGTGGTGTGAACAGGCGCGGCGAGGGAGCTCTAATCTCCACCCTCTGCTCCCTCGCGCGCTGCCTGCTGATGCCGCGGGAGCCGGAATATGACGTCATCAACCCGGCTCCCGCGGCATCAGTAGGCAGCCCGCAAGGGAGCAGAGGGTGGAGATTAGAGCTCCCTCGCCGCGCCTGTTCACAGCACTGCCGCACGCCTCCCAGCAGCCCCAGGGACCGATCCATAATCCACACCAGCTCTCCAGGTAGGGAGGCTGGGTGGAAAATATGTATTTATAAAATAATTAGTGAATGCATGTGATGTGTGTCTGTGAGTGACTGTGTGTGTGTGTGTGTGTGTCTGTGAGTGACTGTGTGTGTGTGTCTGTGAGTGACAGTGTGTGTGTCTGTGAGTGACAGTGTGTGTCTGTGTGTGTGTGTGTGTCTGTGAGTGACAGTGTGTGTGTGTCTGTGAGTGACTGTGTCTGTGTGTGTGTGTCTGTGAGTGACAGTGTGTGTGTCTGTGAGTGACAGTGTGTGTCTGTGTGTGTGTGTCTGTGAGTGACAGTGTGTGTGTGTCTGTGAGTGACAGAGTGTGTGTGTCTGTGAGCGACAGTGTGTGTGAGTGACAGTGTGTGTGTGACAATGTGTGTGTCTGTGAGTGACAGTGTGTGTGAGTGACAAAGTGTGTGCGTCTGTGAGTGACAGTGTGTGTGAGTGACAAAGTGTGTGCGTCTGTGAGTGACAGTGTGTGTGAGTGACAAAGTGTGTGCGTCTGTGTGAGTGACAAAGTGTGTGTGAGTGACAAAGTGTGTGCGTCTGTGAGTGTAAGTGACAAAGTGTGTGTAAGTGACAAAGTGTGTGTGTCTGTGAGTGACAGTGTGTGTGTCTGTGAGTGATTGTATGAGTGTGTGTGCGAGTGTATGAGTGTGTCTGTCTGTCAAATCAGTGAGAGTATGTTTGTCATTGAGTCTGTGTGTGACTATCAGTGTGTCTGTCAATGAGTGTCAATCAGTGTGGGTCTGTCAGTGTCAATGAATGAGTGTGTGTCAGATCAATGAGTCTGTGTCTGTCAGTGACGTCTGTGTGTTTGTCATTGAGTGTGTGACTGTCAGTGTGTACAGAGTGTAGCGGAGCAGAGCGCGGTACAGGAACTTCTGTTTCCTGTACCTGGCCAGACTGACAGGAGGTGCTCACAGAGAGAGCACTCCCTGTCAGTCCGGCCGGGTACAGAAAACTGAAGCTCCTTTAGGGGATCTGCTCCACTCGGCAATGCAACAATAGAGGTAGGAGGCACACCAGGAAGGGGAGTGTGACCACTAAAGGGGTGTGGGGTGCACCAAGGGACAGGGAGGGAATGGGAGAGAAACACCAAGAGACAGGGAAAAGAGGGGGGAGGGGAGAAGAACACTAAGGGACAGGGAAGGGAAGGGACTACTAATGGTCAGGGAGGGGAGAGGGGCTGGTTAAGAGGCACATAGATGAAGATGTTTTTTTTCGGGGGGGGTGCGGGGGGGCGGAAAAAGGCATCTTCGCCTATGTACCTAAAAATCCAAGCACCGGCCCTGCAAGGTAGCAATATTGCAATTTATTTTGCTGGAATTATAATTATTTAATTATATCAGAATAATGGAAACCTTCAAGGTTGTGACAAGGGACATCAAGGCACCAATGCAAAACAGCTTTAATATAATTTTTTTGCATGCTCAAATCTTTATAGTTTTTGCGCAATTTCTTTTTATATATATAATTTGTTTTATTTATTGTTTTTTGTTTTTTTTACTTTGGAAAGACTTCCTTATGAAATGTATGCACAGTCTTAGTGAGCTTTTTTTTAATTCACAACCAGACAGTCATATACACTACAAACAGGTATTGATACCGCTACTATATGTCTCCTTGTGTGTCCTCTGCTTCTAATGCAGGTTGCAATGCAGCTCAGTCCATTCGGTACTGTCAGTGGCTAATCTTTCTATGAAATGGGGAGGTGTGGCTAAAGAGGCAGGCATATGTCAATTGCACCTATCTACTTAAAAAAAGAATGATGACTACTCTTGTTTCTGTTTCTATATATATATTTATTAAGTTTTATTTATAATATTATTATTTTTTTGTTTGTTAGTTTTTTTGCAAATTATATATTTTTTTTTTCTTCCAAAAAAACTTTCAAACTCAGTAATGTATTCTCACAATTTTTCACATTGCGGGGGAAGTCGGTGGGGTAAATTGGCCATTATTTAGTTTAGGGTAGAAGGATGCTTTCTTAACTCATTGTTGCAATCATACTCTGTGAGTGACTGGTTAGGGTAATGCTAACATCCCTTCTCTAGAACCAAGAAACCCAAGTTTGAATCCTGGGCAAACCACCTCACCATCAGGTGTCCTACCTACCTAGACTGTAAGCTTGCTTGAACAGGGCCTTTTTAGAGATTCATTTTATGAAAATTGTAATGTTCAATAGAATATGTTGGTGCTGTATAAAGGCTAATAAAACAAAGATACTGTGTAATCTTCACAATGCCTGTTATAGTGTATTTTACAAGAGAGCGTAGAGTTCTGCGAAATTAATTAGCATGATAAAAGCTAGTTTATTGTGCTGCAACTGTGTTCAAAATTTAACATAATAAAGAAAGGCTTTTCAATTCCTGTTCAAAATGCTTTTTCATACAGAAGCATAAAACTATTTGCACTTAACAAAGGTAATTTATCATTGTCTTAAATAACCTTAGTTCGTTGACACTTTCCCCTTATCTAATTTACTTATGCCAAGTCACTTATTGGTTTGCTCTCAAACCCATTTCTACTGTTGCCTTAGCTAATGCTGCTTGTGACGGTTCTTTCTTTAACCCCTTAAGGACCAAACTTCTGGAATTAAAGGGGATCATGACATGTCACACATGTCATGTGTCCTTAAGGGGTTAAAAGTTCAATACTTCAGATTCTGTTGCAATATCTTTCATAAATTACTTATGTGTTTACATTTTATTTCAAGAGATTCTTCTGCTTTAGAACAGATACCAAACCACATGTACATTCAAGGGCCTAAGTCCACCTTCTCCTTTCCTTGTATGCATTGAATAAGTCCATTGGATTGATCCATGTTTTAGTTACATATTTTCTCATGTCTATGTAATAACATACTTTGAAGTAATGACACGGATTTTCACTGACATTAATTCATGGAGCACTCAAAAATACTTCAAAAGCATTTTCACCAGGTGAACATGCTCTGCCCATTGGTATGCCACAAGGTACATATTCATATTTAAGACCCTTAGTACAGACATATCTACCTAAACACCTTGATTCCTGCAAAAATTGGATTACTTTTTCCTGTATAGTTACATTCAGACACAAGGAATTTTCGGAGAAGAAGTAAAGCATCTAAATAAGGGTTGGGATTATTATTGGGTTTTAAAGAACCTGTGTGTAACATTTAAAAAACTATAATTAGATATGATTAGGGACTTTACTGTAGAAAGGAGAGTGCTCCTCACATGAAACCAGGAAATCAACCAGAGCTCAGAGTGTGTTAGTTATTTCAGAAAAACCCACAATGCAGCAACAGTAACGCTACTGTTCATGATTCGCTTTTCAATTCATAAAAGAGTTTTCAGCATTTGGCAGCAAAATGAGTCATTTACTGTAGCTTCATTTTTTGACATCATTTTTTTTGGCAACGTTGAAAGGCCTCATTTTCTCCAAAGCAGAAGAAAATCAGGTCCTCTTCTCAGACAGTGAAACAGTATTTAATGCCGCCAATGCTTAAAAGAAATGAGAATCTCATTAGACAGGATTCACTTCAAGTCTAGGTTTTTTTTCTCATATAAAATGTTTTTCTGGAAAAAGTTTTTGTTTATGTCTCTAACAGGAAAGATTTGTCATGGCTCAATATACATTTCTTATTGTGTGCAGTTCTCATAGCCAGATTCACT